ATACGCGTGAAAAGACAAGTAACGGCGAACGAACGGAAAAGCATTCGACGCGAAAAAAAATTCGCGAAACATCGTTCCGGAATGTCAAAAGAAGACCAAGCTTATGTTTTGTGAGATATAATTTATGACAGAGTAAACAAATACTTGATATTTTTTTTATCTAAATCTCTTCTCTCTCTTTTTAAGTTTTTGATAATGGCGGATTGTAAGCGTTGCTTAGAGCGTTAATTGAATCTTTCAACGGCTACTCGGAGGCCTTCTACGCACGTGCGACACGACCGCACCGCGACCGCATCTGTCATTGCGATCATTACGGGATCGTTGGCACGTCGTCGCCACGCGACGGAAGACGCCGGCACTGCAGGTATTCCGTCTCGGGAATGCAAATGGCCCCGTCGTGGATGGTAATATGCAGATTAATCCGACCAGCCCTCAGCCGGCCGAAAACTCCTAACTATTCTCATTCTCACGTGGAGAGAGTGTGCCGAACTGTTCGCCGCAATCCCGGCTCGGTTCTTACGACAATTGGCTCGTCCGTGAAACAAAGGGGATCGGATTAAAAATTTTTTTTTCCCGGGAAAAAAAAACTTTTGCCGAGAAATGGCCCTTCGATAAGCTCTTTCTTGGAAATCTTTTACTTTACATTTAATTATCAAAATATTCATTGACAAGTTGCGACAAAAATTATATGCTAAAAAAAAAATCAATTCAAATTTAATGTCAAAAGATGAATGAAAAGTTTCTTGAAGAAATTCTGCTGCATTAGATATTGTATATATAAATGATTTAAAATATTCATTTAATATTAGATGTACAATATCAGGCTTATTAAATTCGATTTACGTCACTTTCGAAATAAACACCTCGTTTAAGGGATACGGCGTTCGTTGACAAAATTACTACCGTGGGAATTACTTCGCGAAATTTTCGCAAATCGTCTTGGGATGTAGGCAGAAATCTGATTTCCAAGTTTTGCAGGAAGCTTGGGAATTGTTTGGGAACTTAAATTGGGGTTGGCGTTATTACTGAGATGGATTAAGAGATGCTTGATAAACGTCAGGTAAAGCATCATAATGCGCAATAATCTTTGTCATAAAAATCATATTTTATCATATTAATAGTCTTTAAAAAGAAAACTTTGTAAAAATACAAATAAGAAAAATTAATTTATATTATCGAAGCATAGTAAAATACATATGAGAGAGATAGAAATCATATTCTTTTCTAATGAAAAGTGGAAACTTGCGTTATAATTAAAACGGGTCAGATCGCCATTTGTTTGTAATTAATGACAAATTTCAAATGGGAAAATTTATGTTGCAAACGTAAATGGCGGCATAATGTGCTTCCAGTATACTTGAGTGAAGCGTACTAATGGAACAAATCTAGTTTTCGCGCAAATTACTAATAAATTAAATCAAGCCCGCTATCCTTTCACAACCAATTTTCAAATCTGTGTCTGATAATTGTAAAATATATGTAATTTAGAGAAGATATATAACTGTCAACAACAAGTCTTAATGTGCATATGATTCTTAATCGTTTCAGGATATTTTTTCGTTATTTATCTAATACATTTAGGCTTATTGAGACTTTAATTAAACGACATTAAAAGAGATGAAATAGTAATGTAATAAAATTCAATAAAAATTAAAAAAAGAAAAATATTAAAGATAAGATTAACGTTTGTGTACACATATGCTAATTCTAGTCGTATTAAAACTTTATATTTATCTCTATGTGGTGTTGTGTATGTATGTTTCGAGATTTTATTTTCGTGATATATTTCACGCTATATAATTTCGGAATATGTATACATCATTTATAGGCAATAGTAATGAATAATAATGAACAGATGCCGATATTGCGCTGGATATTGATGACGGTCGAACGAGCGTGGACTACGAAAAATTTGCGTACTCGAGGCAACGTTAGATACGATGAAAACAATTCGTCTCAATAATGCCACTCGAAGAATATCGATGTTATTTTATTGAAAGCGTAGCTGGGTGCGAATAATACCGCCATAAATCATGAGGACGCCGAGTAGACAAATGTTTCGCTGTACCAATGCGAACGATAGGCAGAAGCGTGCATTTCTGTGTACCATATTTTATATTTTCTTTCTCGAAACCACTAAAGCATACGCGAAATAATAAAATCAAATAAAAATAAATTCACTCGCTTTGGCCCAGTCTATTTTTCAAAATTAATAATTAAAATAATTATTTGCGAAATAAATTTATACACATCGATTTTATACGATTATCATCTCTCTCTCCATTTTCTCTCTCTCTCTCTCTCTCTCCATTTTCTCTCTCTCTCTCTCTCTCTCATTGAAAATGAAATTATTTTTATAATAAATATTACAAATTTATTTTCACACACGCGATTCGGACGTACGTTCTATTTGCCGCTAATTAATCTCCGGATTAATTTATCGTTTGAAGATTTCGTGACAACCCTTTCCGCACCAAGGAGGATGCTATTATTCACCGATGCATCGGCGCATCTGCCGCAAACATCGTGTAATTCCTCGGGAACGAGGTTGACTCTGAAAGCGGCAGGTGGTTCCCGAATCTGATCGATAGACAAAGGAGAGAGAGAGGCTTAATGACGAGACGACGATCAACGACGTACTGCTCAACGTTCATCTTGCGATGTCGATCGCACTCGCGTTAACGAGAAACGATAATAATTAATGTCCTTCCTACCCAAAACTTTTTCGTCGCGTAGTCGTGACCGAGCACGTTGCGTACATTCCTGTCACGTACGGAAAATGCACGATGTGTCACGAGTGTTCGCCGTGCCAAAAGTTTTCGTCGAAACTGGATTTTCCACGCGATCGTAACAAGACACCGTGTATCTTTGTCATACTAGATGAGACATTATTCGTCAAGGAACGAGGGAGACTGCGTGTTTAATGATTAAGCACTATTAACTTTGCGAGATATTTCAGTCGTTAAATCGTAAAATGTTAAATCATAACTAAGAGATCCTTATTTAATCATTGTGGTAATTAAGAATTACCAGAAACATTTTCAAATGACATATATGAAATACATTATTAATATAATTAGAAAAATCTGATATCGTCAAAAAATATCCTTCGTAAAATTATTTGTCACACATATCAAGGCTTATAATTATATAAGAATGTATAATCTTGCCCGAATATTATGCAAGTAATAAATGGATCTACTCATATTCATAAGACACAGAAACATTGATGAACATACGAAAAAATGAATTTCATTCGCGACAAGAATGCGATTTTCGACGCGTTTTTCGCGAAGAGGAATGAATTCGACGGAAGGGAAGTAATTCCGTATTAATAAAAATGAAGGAATCCAATTCTCTGTCTCTTCCCCGTTCGAGCACGAGCGAGTCGTTATCGCGAGAGTGCATACCCGGCTCTCAGGTAGTCCGGGCACGTTTTTAAAGTGTCTCCGGTGTCAGAGTTCTCGCAAGAAACTTGGAGAAGGCGATGCGCGTTTCGGAGACGTCCATTCCCCGGAGAAGATTTTCGCGAATTCGTTTCGGCTGGATTTTCCACCCTCGAGTCGGATACCTTCCGTGGGGGTGCGAGTAACATCGCCGAAATGTCTCTTCGTGGAACAATATTTTCGTTCCGTTTCCTCGCGACTGTCGCCCCACATTGCGTCTTAGGGGAGAGGATATACGTCGACCGTCCGATGTTCTCGAATATGGTAGATCGAATTTCGCGTTTACTGGTATTTGCCGATCGACGACCTCTGTCTATTGAACTGTGTCATATTGCGAAGCTGATATCGGCGTTTCTCGCACAATTAAACAAAGATAGCTTTTATGTTCCGAACGATTTTGTTTCGAATTTCATTAGGAGATTTGAATCTGTACGCATTTCTTGTATGTAGAAAATATTTGTGCAAGGATAAATATGAAAATTATATAAAAATATTGTTTCGTTATTTCCGTTCGGCGAACTCTAAAATAAAAATAAGTCAATCCGGGTGAATATGTTTTCGTAAGATCCGTTAAAATTACATATCGCGGCGGAAAACGTTTCCGTACGCCTATCAAAACTTTGATAATACTCGAGGTCGGAGAAAGGGGTAGCAGCTGGTCCATTGGTCGGCAAAGAGGGTGCAAAAGGGAAACTACGGAGGAGAAAGAGGAGGAGGATTAAGAGGAGGAATTGAGGGACCGAGAGATGTGGGTCGGTGATCGATTGCGCCTGTACATGCACAATAACCGGGGATAGAGTCATGTATCCGGGCTAAACAGCCCATTTGCCCGGCACAATGGAAAGCGACGGTCGCTGTGGGTCCGACTTAATTATCAGAGACTGCCTTTGGCAGATAGAGGCAGGGGAACGGTAGCAAGGCTTTATCAAAAGCGCTTTATAACAGCCAAGCTTCGTTTAATGGCCGCGCAAGAATGCGAATTTGGCGACATGCCTGAGAATCTAATCTAAGAAGTTATCCCGGAGTCGCCTTTTAAGCTTCGCGTTAGGTATACTCGAGTGATTATAAATCACGTTAGCCATTATTACAACGCGTGATTATCATTGATTTACTATCACATCTTAATGTTAAATCGTTCGTCTCAATATATGATTTAAAATACAAAATGACGATTGTAAAATTTATCCGATGTATAAGTTGCAGTGCACAGATTTTTCATTATACGAAGAATGATAAGTCGCATTTAAGAATCGATATAAGCCGTGTAAAATAATTTAATTCGCTCAAGTAAAATGCGTCCTTCGTAAGAAACTCAACCTATATCGGAATCCAGTATATAAATTGTATATGAACCATCTTTCGTCATTATTTCCTGCATATGATGCATCGCGAGACCGTGCTATTTTCCGAGGAAACAAAACAGTTTCCCGATAGTTCGCGCGCGCGACGCGTGAAAACGAAGGGAGCACTTTGCCATTAGTCCGTGCGCAGAGCTGTTGGTATATATCATTCTGTAACGAGGGAAAATTGTGCGAGAATCCGCGCCACACTTACCGGAGTTTTCATAAAGTTCGCCGGACGGGAGAGGCCACTGCATTAGACGAAAGATACCTGGAACACAAAACGAAAAGAACACCTTTAACTTGCGCGAAAACTATGTTTCCCTCGCAGAGAAACTTCGGGTTACGCAGAGTCACAAATCTCGGCAATTAGCCGGACTATCGCGACGCTCATCTCTTCGACGAGATAAATAGTTCGTTAATTGCGACTTCTTTATTCGATATTTGCTGCAGCTGAGAAATATATTATAGGATCGATGCTATTTTTGTAATAGATATTTCGATGCAAAATTCTATTTTTCATTGCTCAGTTTTTAAATAAATGATAGAAAATATTTAAATGGATGAAATAAAATATTATTATCTTTTAAATGCTCTCGGAAAAATATTTGAGATAAAATTAGATTTAATAATTGGAAATTATTATAATACATATAATTAAATTTGTCAATTTTTAAAATAGCGATATAAGAGATTCTCAAAGTTAAATGATTTACATTTTCAGGAATTTTTCATATTGATGTAATCACGCGTTGAAATTTATCGATGAAATTACAGGCGGATAACAAGAAATGATATCATTCCGCAAAAAACGAACATATTTCGTGCTTAATAAAAACGATATTCCACACGAAAAACCCGATTCTCCGATTTCATTATCGTGCCAAACGAAGATCTTTACTAGGGGGAAAGATCCACGAAGATTTCCCCTGATGTCGGTTACTCTGAAGTCGAAGGAACAAAATGAGATAAACTCCAGGGTACTCGAGGACGCGAGTCGTCCGAGAGAACGCTCTTTTATTTCAACCCTCTGTCACGCTACACACGCGAATCCGAATAGATCCGAAAGTGAGAAAAAGAAGAGAGGAAGAGAGACAGAGGGAAAGGGAGAGCGAGAAGGAAAATGAATATACACACGAATGAGTCGTCTCTGCAAACGCACGCCAGACGAGTTGGCCTGAGTGGTTTCTCGTGTTCGGCATCGCGCACGCACACACACACACACACACACACGCACACACACAGCCCTATACAACGACCATCGGACGGTACATATTCGCGGCATTATGTATTTCGTGCGCACCCGGTAGAAACGGCGAAAGAGCCTCCTCGAGACTCGTCCTCGCCTCCTCGCACGCAGGAGGACTCACCACGTGGAGGGTACATACTGCACGAATATAGTAGTAGTCGAGTGTTTTCGCGCTGTCGTTGTCGACGGAAAGCAGTTGCAAATGTTCGTTTGACCGCGGGTTTGAACAGCCCGCCAAAGTTTCGCGGGTTTGTCATCTCATTGCATCATCTCTCACGCTGTCTGGAGAGATGAGCACTCCTCGTCGAGAGGAAACTTTGACGACGTACAATATGGCATTAAATTCGCAATGGTCTATATATACAGAATATATACCGGCCACGTAACATCGTTAGAAAAATATTTTTATCATTATTATTTATTTCGCATAATATTCGCGATTTAACGATTTAGTTATATAAAGCTAATTTATCTGCTTTATTTGTCTAGCTAAAGCTATCTCATTAATTATTATTTAATAAATAAATTCCATCAAATCACATTCCGAGCAAAAAAGATATCTAATTAAATACGTAATTACGCAAAAATAAAAGTAATTACCGGAAAATCCAACGGCCGCCATCTTCTCATCGATTTCTCTGGACATACTCGCGTGAATACGAATCGAACGGAAAACGCCGGCTAATGATCGCGCGGATTAATTAACACGATACAGCAAACGCCCGACACTTTGTACGGCACTACCGATACTTTGTATGATACGTATACATATTTTAAGTTAACAAGGCGAAACACGCACTCCCGATATCCGTTGAACGTACGATACGCTCCGATACATAAATACTAACGGAAAAGGAGGGAAGGTGAGACAACTTCGCGACGATACGCGCGTCACTAGAAAATCTCGAAAAATATTATTAATCCCGATCGTGACGCATGTTTATCAACACTCAACACTCATCGTACGTTAATTCGATCCGATATATCACTCCCGATACGCGTAGCGCCACTTTAAAATCGAAAAAGTACGTGTACGGGACGGAGAGATGTTCGACATAACGAGGCTACGACGCGACTGACTTCAAGTCGTCCACTCGTCCCGAAACGCAATATAATATAGACTCAAGTGACTACGCTAGTCAACAAAAAGTGGGCGCCGCGCGCGACATTTGTTGTTGTTATGTTATCGCGTCTCTCATTCCAGCGGCGTATGATCTTATGTCTTATAATATTACGATAGAATTATATGTCGATTTTATTTCGATTTATAAAGTATTATCGGAAATTTCGCTGGCAATAGAGAATATTAATGTAAAACCGTAACATTAATGAATTTCGTTATCGCGAAATGTTAAAAATTAATATTCTAATTAAATTAATATTTAAAAGAAATTAATTATATTTTGTTGCGTATTTCGATGCAATTAATATCTCGAACTTAATAATAGTGTTAAATCTTTACGCTCTGATACCACCATTTGATCGGCCAAAAATGTTCGTTTTAATTGTACTAAAAATCATAGCATCTAAAAGAAAAATATATAGAGAAAACATAAACGACAAACGAATAAATTAATCACAATTGAACATTGTTCAACACATTTTTATATACTATGATTTTTAAATACAATAAAATGATTAACTTTATTACGCAATTATTGCGATGAAATTATATGTTATATATTATATTAAATATACATATGTATTTAATAAATTTATATAATTGTGGCAATCAATTTAGTTTCAGTTCACACATCCAAGTGTGTGTGCGTATATAATGTATAAATATATAAATATATATGAGATAAATATAAATATAAATATATAAATATATATAAATATATATACATATAAATATATATGATATAAGAGAGAGAAAGAGAATTAGAAAATTTATACAATACAGATTGTGTGGCAGAAATGTTTTTACGATATTCGGCTTAAATGGTATCACATTTTCATTTTTGTCTTGACTAGCGCTGTCAACTTACCATGATTACGTATAACGCACGTAATCCCGGGAATTTGCGCTCACTTCGCACATTACGTGTTTTATGTGTGTGTGTGTGTGTGTGTGTGTGTGTGTGTGTGTGTGTGTGTGTGTGTGTGTGTGTGTGTGTGTGTGTGTGTGTGTGTGTGTGTGTGTGTGTGTGTGTGTGTGTGTGTGTGTGTGTGTGTGTGTGTGTGTGTGTGTGTGTGTGTGTGTGTGTGTGTGTGTGTGTGTGTGTGTGTGTGTGTGTGTGTGTGTGTGTGTGTGTGTGTGTGTGTGTGTGTGTGTGTGTGTGTGTGTGTGTGTGTGTGTGTGTGTGTGTGTGTGTGTGTGTGTGTGTGTGTGTGTGTGTGTGTGTGTGTGTGTGTGTGTGTGTGTGTGTGTGTGTGTGTGTGTGTGTGTGTGTGTGTGTGTGTGTGTGTGTGTGTGTGTGTGTGTGTGTGTGTGTGTGTGTGTGTGTGTGTGTGTGTGTGTGTGTGTGTGTGTGTGTGTGTGTGTGTGTGTGTGTGTGTGTGTGTGTGTGTGTGTGTGTGTGTGTGTGTGTGTGTGTGTGTGTGTGTGTGTGTGTGTGTGTGTGTGTGTGTGTGTGTGTGTGTGTGTGTGTGTGTGTGTGTGTGTGTGTGTGTGTGTGTGTGGTGTTTTATGTGTGTGTGTGTGTGTGTGTGTGTGTGTGTGTGTGTGTATGAACATGAATTAATAGAGAATATAATATAAAGCGTTTTTTGCTTCAAAATTATATTTATTCTCGCAAATAAAAATCATCAGAATATAGTCGATTACGATTGCATAAATTTAAATAAACGCACGATTAAATATTATATTTTCTACGCGTATTTACTTGCGCGGAAAGAACGCGGAAAACGCGTCGGCGATTTTCGAATCATTATGGAAAAACTGTTAGCAATATTTTATTTTCGATTGATTTACTTTCGCAACTATTACGAACGTTATATTGATGAGAGTTATTATTATGTATAAATAATTTATTGATATTATTGAGCAATTATTAGAGCAATAATTTTTTATAAGAGAGAGAAAGAGCGATAATTAAGAAAGAATTATTCCTGTTATATTAAAAGAAAAAGAGAAGACATAACACGAGTTACGATCATCCGATAATATTCTACATATTATAATATTATCCATATACATACATTCGCATTCGTTTTCGACGATTTGAGAAAAGATTATAAAAACATCGTGGATCCATTCCTGGAATTAGCTCGACTCGAGGATATGCGATATACATGCTACTGCTGGACGCACACATACGACACACATACATACAGATACGCGTCGCGCTGAGCGATTCCCGGAATCGAAGGGAAGGGGAAGCGAGCTCGTGACGTATAAACTGTATCGCATCTGCTTTAAGACGGCTCTATGTCGTACTTTAAGACGAGTCTATAACGCGCTCCCGATACATTTCGACAATCTGTAAAAGCTACATACGTATATACGCAATTAAATCGAAAAGTAAATAATATATTAATTAGCAAAGATCTGTCGAATCGTCGGAAGATTCTGATGTTATTCCTGTTTTGATATCACGTCAGAATCATCTAATAAAAATTCAATAAAAGCGATTGTAGAACATACTTAATGTATCACATTTTACTTTATTTTATTACTTACTTACTTTATTTTATTATTTACTACATTTTACTTTATTAGACGGACTAAACTCGTTTCAGTCGGAAATGCTTTGAGAAACTTGGCAAGTATTTAATGAATTTGTAAGTGATTCGCGCGTGTCTCTAGGCAGTGATACGAACGAATTTTTCTAAACTTTTCACGTTCATGCAATATATAAACCGCTGTAAATGCAAAGAAAACAAGAATGTAGAGTACAAATTTATCGCTAAAATAGAATATTAGGCAAAATTATTTCGATTATATTATAATGACGCGAATTTTCGATTTAATGGAATTAATATCTGGTCGGATATGGAATGTGAGCACACGAGAAAGAGAGAGAGAGAGAAAATATAGAACATAGAGATAGTAAACATAAACTCCGCGTATCTATCAAGATAAACAAACTCCTGAATCATATTGCGTTCTCTTTCTAATTTTATTTTCTACCGAATTACATATGATTAAAGCTACATTTCACTTGATGCTATTTTCGTTTCGAAGTGCAAAATTCTTCGCTCTGATTGGTTCATCAAACGCTTCGAAACGAAAATAGCGTCAAAGTACGCAGTCTATGTTTACTATGTCTATGGACGTGAGGTAGGGACAGTGGATACTTCGTCTTGAATTTAACAACAAACTTCGGGAGGAAAAGTATGGAGCGTGTATCAAAAGTGATTACGTCGAGAGTGAGTGCCTCGTAAATAATAGCGATCGATGTTTATCAGTCGTTAAACACACGGGCCCGCGATCAGTCAACGCTTTGTCCTGAGGTTAGCGGCAGAAGCCGTGGCGATAAACGCGCGTTATAATCTGAATACAATCGCGTGTCTTCGTCAGTCGCCGAGTGTCGATCGCCGCGTATAAACAAATGTCGGGAACGTCGAGAAAAAGTATCGGCCGAGATTGCGTCACGATTGCATTGTGTTTAAACTTAACTGCAAACGATGGTAAATAATTGGTAAGTATCGTTCTTATTATCAATCTTTTCGAGAAAGTGATATTTTATATATTTTTCACAATGTATTAATCGCGATCGTTTACGTTCTTTGCTATTCAAAATGGCCGTCATAGTTTCGCGCGTTATATTTTTCCCGCGCATTTTTACAGCAGTAAATTTTATCAGTGAAGGAATGTCGATTGGTGTTAATTAACCGTATAATCACGACAAATTACGTTATTTCGGAATGACGAGCAAATCACGCCATATATTCCACGTATTTTATCCATTAATAGTAAATTTCGCATGTGTGAAAATATCGGTATTGCTATAAGAAATAGATTCTAATTAACTTTGTTTTTTTATCAAGGTGGATTTGGCACTGCATGGAAATATCTGGAAAGCAATACAGCCGTCAGTGAGCAGTATAATACAGATACAACGGCGATACATCGATTGGTGAATACAGATAAAATAACGATAATATTAATTATGTATTTATTTTGTTTGCAATGATTCCATACATACATATATGTTTGCGTTTATTCATAAATTACATAGAAATATGAAGGCTGTCGCGAGAAATGTATTGGAATAATTTTTTTATTGTAAAAAATCTTTTTTGGCTTATTTTCGTCTAATCCTTTACTAATTCTGCTTTAAAAATTTATTGAAAAAATATGGAAAAATCTATTGAATCAAATGTCGTTCTTTTGAGAGCAAAATAATCTTAATTACCTTTAAATTAAACAGTTAGCGCATAAAAGAGTGGCTTGGATTTCATTCCTTTGATTCCGTTTTTGCCTTATGAATTTATTGGATGTAATTTTATTATCTTCCGACAATTATACTGCAGAAAGGAAAAGTTTATAAAGCAAACAAAGCATTCAGGCAAACGTCTCATCTCAATCGCGATTACATTATTGCAGCAATTTTTCTAGTAATATGAATTATTCATAGATTAATTTTTATCGTAATCGAATTATCGATAACTGCGAATTATATCTGATAAATTATAAATATACAGAAAAAACGGACATAAAGAATTTAACTGAAAAGAACTCGTGTCAATGAGATAATCTAAAAATCATCTTCTTTTCTCATCGCAATCTATATCGCATTCTGGTCCCAATTGCGCATCCAATAACCGAATTTAACGGTGAACTCTCTAGCGAATTATGTGAGAAACTCAATTTAACGCGGCGCCGCCAATGCATTGCGGTATCCACTTCCTCGGCAAAAGCTCCTATTCTTCTCCTCCTCCTTCTTCTTCTCTTCGTTCTCTTCTCCACCCTCTCGTTTTCTGCGCCCCTTGTCGAACCGATCCACCCCGTGTTCGAGCGTCTAAAGACAAGAAAAAGTCGAATGCGTGTCGCGAAAAAGTACGAGAGGACGAGAGAATGAGTAAGAAAGAGATGGCGGGTGAGAGGGGTAGCATGACCCTCCGAGTCGCAGTGCATCTTTCTCTGATTTCCCGAGAGATGCCACCGGCCGCCTTCGTCACCCTTATCTACTACGAAGCCGACAGGATATTGCGCGAGTGGATGAGATAGGTGGATACAGCCGCAACGCGCGTGTCCTCGCGAAGCATGATTTATTTTATCGCTCTTTGAGAGCGGCCGGCATAATTCCGGGCTGTTCCGCCGACAGTTATTTACCCTGCCGCTTCGCCCGCGCCGGACCCGACACGGGGATGTGGACGGGGGGGTTCGCCGACGAGGGATCAACAGGTATAGGACTCGCGGCCGCCGTCAGGATCAAAACGACGAGCTGCTAGCTTTCGCCATGCTCGCGTGTCAAAAATATTGTAGAAACTCTTCGTTATATATATTCTATATAATTTACGTCAACATTTTCAATAAGTCTTATTTTTTATCAAGGAAAAATATTTAATTAAATTCACATTGCCCATTCTCCAAGATCTTTGTTGAGAAAATCTAAAATCTAAAAATCAGCTGACTCGGATAATCGAATATTGATGCGTTATTACGTATTGCATTGGAACAGATTGATGACGAAGAATCAATCGGCGTGGTAAATTGTTCTCTTTTTTATTACATGATCCGTAAATACGGTATTTATGATTAAAAATGATATTTTTGCGACATCATTTTAAGCAAGATCTATGTGAAAGGACACAAGAGGTATATACCTTATAAACTCGGCGTGTAATACACTATGTCCGATGCCTCTTCCGGGTGCACGTCGTCGGACGAAATGAAAACGGGAGGTGGAGAAGAGAAGGAGGTGGGACAGCCTCTCGTATACCAGGAAACTCTGCGGAGTGGCGCAATAACGTTTCTTATGCCACGTTTCCGGACTGGCGTGCCGTGGTCGTGGGTATGGGTAGTTCGCAAATACTGCTGCCAGAGATGGAGAGAGATGGAACTAGGAGGGAAGAGAAAGAGGATGAAAAAGAGGGAAAGA